AAAAAAAAAAAAACACGGTGCTCCATCCTTCGTGTGGGACGCTTGCCGCAAGATTTGGCAAACGTGGCAGAAAGGAGAGAAGCCAGGAGACGCAATTAATACCCTTCAAAAAAGAAAAAAAGAAAAAAAAGAACCTTGCACCCCCGGCCAGACTCAGGCCCAGGCTGCCTCAAAACCACCTCCCTCCATCCTACCTCACTGGAGAATCATCACTCTCTTCTGGAGAAGAAGCATCCTCCCTTCCTCCTAATGACACACTACCCGACCACCAGCAGGGTAGGGGCCTAGCCTCTTTTCTTTTTTTTCCCCCTAGCCTCTTTTTTTTTTTGTAGGGTCCTATCGATTGGTTGCTGAGAACTCCGGTTAAAAAAAAAAAGAAAAAAAAAAGAAGGAGAAGAAAATGGTGAAATCCAGTCGTGGGAGCGGTGACTTATGTTTTTCTTTTCCTGTTTTTTTTTTTTTTTTTTTTTTTTAATATTGATTGACTTTTCCTATCCGTATTGGCTTTTTGTTTATGAATTCCTCCGTCTAGATCCGGAGGGGAGGCGTTCGAGCCTTCCGTTCTTCAGGTCTTTGTGGCAATCAGCCATCATGTGCTAGCAACTTGGCTACTTTTCTTCTGTAAAGACGAGGAGGAGGAGGAAGAGTTGTGGGAGAAGGGGGGGGGGAAGTCGAGAGAGAAGGGTGGGAGACGAAATGAGGCGGGGCCTCAAACGCACGTCGGTCGGGTTGGAGTGTTCAGGTCGGGATCAGCCTGGGGTACCTTGCGCATCTAGACGATGCGACGAGATGATGGCCAGCAGAGCGGCATTGAGGTGAATAGATGGGACGTCAACACGTCGAACGAACAGCGGTCTTCTTTCCTTGGATAAGGTTTGAATAAGATCGGATAAGTTTTTTTTTCACAAGGAAAAGGGTAAAAAAAAAAAAAAAAAAAAAAAAAAAAGAAGATCGGATAAAAGGGTGGATTCTGCAATACAGGAGGCAGGATGAGCTTTGGAGGATAAAGGGATGAAGAAAGAAGGGTCAAGAAGTTGGAGGAGAAACCTTAAACCCAGGAAAAGGGAGAGGGGGGGAGTGTAGTAAGGCGAGAGAGGGAGAGAGAGGTGAGAGTTGGGAGAGGAGCGGTGAGTGGGGGGTGGACGTACCTACCATGGTCGCCGTGTCGTTCTGTACGGATCTGGCTGCTGCTGCTGCTGCTGCTGCTGCTCAGGACGTACCTGAGAATCACCTATCTATAGGTTCATCGGGATCGCGACAATCATCATCAAGGAAGACGACAGCCATGGCCGGGACCGTGAGAGGTCATCTGCTTGCGCGGTCCTGTTCCAAGGCCAGCACCTTGGTCCTCTCTTCCCTCCGAGAGGGTTTGCCAACCTCGTCTTCCTCATACTCGTCGGGGGTGGCTGCCAAACGGTGGTGTGAGAGAGGAGGAGGAGGGGGAGGAGGAGGAGGTAGTAGTGCTGGCGGCGGAGGTATGATTTGGCGGCGATGGAATCGTCGCAGGAAAGCACCGTCAACTCTCGGTGAAGATTCTTCTGGGGATGGCAATTTGGCGCGCAGTGAGTGGGTGGTTTTGCTGCGTTCGAGGCGAGCGGGGGCCGGCGGTCGGGGGGGGGTAAGCTCACCATCGACGGCATCTTCTTCTTCTTCTTCTTCTGCTTCTTCTTCTTCTTCTTCTTCGGCTTCTTTGGCTTCTTTGAATTTCAGTAAGTGTTTGGATGGCGTGGCTAGGCGGCGAGCGTTGTGCGTGGAGGATGGGGGGAGCTATGGTAGGGATGGGAAGGCTGTGCTTGGCGCGATTTGCTGCCACCGAAGGTTGATGATTAGAGGAGGAGGAGGAGGAGGAGGAACATCGAAGGGGGGAAGATCCCTCCCCTCCTCCTCCCCTCGTTCCTCCTCCTCCGCTGCCTATTCATACTTATCGCCGAACGAAAGCCGGAGCGTGTTCTCATCATGGGCATGGCTATCTTCTTCGATCGAGAGAAAGGGAGGAGGAGGGAGAGTGGGAGGGGAGAAGGGTGATGGCGGTGGCGGTGGCGATGGCGGACCTCCGCGTTCGGCGGCGGCGCCGCCGCCGCCGTCCCCGGCGGACGTCCTCAGGCGAAATAATGCAGCAGCGTCTTCGATGATAGGAGGAGGAGAGTTAGGGAACTTAGTTAATCATACCCAAAATGCCCGAGGAGGATGGGGGAGCACTGCGGAGAGAACCTCCTCCTCATCTTCTCGACGAGGAGACGTATCCGCCGCCGCCGCTGCCACATCTGCCGGAGGAGGTACGGCCGAAGAAGGTGATGACAGCGACGATCGCGATCCCAGCGGGGAAGTATTGGACTCTATTATGACGGCGGCGGCTAAGGAGCAATCAACAACTGCAGAGGATGAGTCCGAGGAGGACTTGGACTCGACACCATCATCGTCGCCCTCCTCCTCTTCAGCCGAAGGAGCAATTGGGCTCTATTTACCAAACGAACAGCAAATAGAAGACGGGGTACAGCAAAAAGAGGCAATGATGACGGAAGGTGAAGGAGAAGGAGGAGAAAGAGGACAAAGAGGAGGAGGAGGAGCAGGAGGAGGAGGAGGAAGAGGAGGAGGAGGAGAATCCAGCCGTGTTGTCCCGGTCGAGCTTCACAAAGAAGTTACAGAGTCTTATCTGTCGTACGCGATGTCGGTGATCGTCGGTCGTGCTCTACCTGATGTCAGAGATGGCTTGAAGCCAGTCCATCGTCGTATTCTCTTCTCGATGAAAGAGTTAGGTTTGTCGTCTTCCAAACCCTTCCGCAAGTGCGCGCGCGTCGTCGGAGACGTTTTAGGAAAGTATCATCCTCACGGCGACAGCGCTGTGTACGATGCGTTGGTCCGCATGGCGCAAGACTTCTCCCTCCGCTCGCCCCTTGTTAACGGTCACGGCAATTTTGGCTCCATCGATGCCGACCCTCCCGCCGCCATGCGGTACACTGAGTGCAGGTTGACCTCCCTCGCGGAGTCAATGCTTCTCTCGGATCTAGATATGGATACCGTTGACTTTTTCCCGAATTTCGACGACTCGCAGACAGAGCCGAGCGTCCTCCCCTCCCGGCTTCCCCATCTACTAATCAACGGATCGCAGGGGATCGCGGTCGGGATGGCGACCAACATTCCGCCGCACAACTTGGGAGAGGTGGTGGATGCTCTCTGTGCTCTCATTCGTAATCCGAACGCGAGCGTGCAGGAGCTGATGGAACACCTCCCAGGACCCGATTTCCCGACCGGCGGTCAGATCTTGGGCCTCGACGGACTGGTCGCCGCTTATCAGACCGGTCGGGGGCGGCTGGTCGTCCGAGGCACCGCTACCATCGAGCAGCAGAAGACCGGTAGTAACCACACCAGCACCCGCCATGTCATCGTCATTTCCGAGGTGCCTTATCAGACGAACAAGGCGATGCTGGTCGAGAGGATCGCCGATCTGGTGAACGAGAAGGCTTTGGAGGGGGTGAGCGATGTGAGGGACGAGAGCGACCGGTCGGGCATGCGTGTGGTGGTCGAAGTCAAACGCGGCGCCATCCCGGCGGTCGTTCTGAACAACCTTTACAAGCAGACCAATCTGCAAACGAGATTCAGCTGCAATTGCGTAGCGTTAGTCGACGGCGAACCGCGAGTTTTAGGGTTGAAGGATTGCTTGGCGGCGTTCTTGGAGTTCAGATGCAAGACGATCGAGCGGCGCACGGCATTCGATCTCCGGAAGGCGGAGGAGAGGCAGCATATCGTGGCAGGCTTGGTAATTGCGTTGGAGAGAATGGGAGAGGTGGTGGGTACCATCCGAGGGGCGAGCGATTCGCGGGACGCGTTGGGGAAGCTTCAGCGAGAGTTCGGTCTGAGCGCGACGCAGGCTGAAGGAGTGTTGGGCATGCCGCTGAGGCGACTGACCTCGCTAGAGCGGGGAAAGCTCGTCGAAGAGCAGGTCGATCTGACGGCTAAGATCTCAGGTCTTCGGGAGTTGTTGATGAGCAGGAAGAAGGTTCTGGAGATGGTGGAGAAGGAGGCGAAGGGGTTGAAGAAGGAGTTCGGTGCTCCTCGACGGACTGTCATTCAGGCGCTGGAAGACGGCGAGATCAGTGATATCGATGTCATTCCGAACGAGGAAATTATTGTTCTTCTGACAGAGAGGGGTTATATAAAGAGGATAAGGTCAGACGCTCTGGCGGCGCAGCGAAGGGGGGGGATGGGGAAGACGAAGAGCAAACTGAAGGTAGACGACGCGATGGCGTTGTCCTTTGCTTGTCGGGTGCATGATCACGTGCTGCTCTTTAGCGACAGAGGGGTGTTGTATTCCCTGCGCGCTTATCAGATACCCGAACTGGGAAGATCGTCGGGCGGCACACATCTCGCGCAGTTGCTCTCTCTTCAACCGGGGGAGAAAATCACCTCCCTTCACCCTGTCTCCCAATTCTCCGAGGACGAGTACCTGGTCATGCTCACAAGTGCTGGCTTCGTCAAAAGAACCCCTGTCTCTGCCTTCTCCAACGTCCGACAAACTGGACTAGCAGCTATACAACTCACACCTGGCGACGAGCTGAAGTGGGTTCGCCGGTTTGTCAAGGGTGATTGGGTAGCCATTTCCTCCAAAAAGGGGTACTGCGTGAAATTTGACCCTGCCGACGACCAGCTCCGATCTAGTAGCAGATTGTCAAGAGGAAGCAGAGCCATGCGGTTAAAAGATGGTGACTCAGTCGCCGCCGTAGATATCATCCCAAGAGCTATGGCTATGGCGGACGAGGATTTCAATTCATTCCCTTCTTCTTCTTCGTCGTCGTCGTCGTCGGATCGGGATCGGGATCCTCGTGGTCGAGATCCTATGGTATTGGTTGTCACCCGATCGGGATATGGTAAGCGGACGAGATTGAGCAACGTGCCTATGCGAAAGCGAGGGCAACTGGGTGTGATCCTGCTGAAGTTTCGGCAGGGAGATTCTCTCGCGGCAATGCGTGTTGTGGGAGGAGAGGGAGAAAGGGAGGAGGAGGAGGAGGTCGTGATTGGCAGTGAGTTGGGAGTGTTGAATCGCGTCAGATTGTCAGATATTCCTGTGTATAAAAGATCGTCTGCAGGTGTGCGTCTTATGAGGATAGCAGAGGGCGACAGTGTGAACACGGTCACCATTGTACCTCGATCTAGTGACAGCAAAGCCGGCGATCCGACGGCCGAGGTGCGTGTTTTACCGGACCAAGAAGACGGGGCCGTGCTTTCCTCGGAGGATTCGTCAGATGATGATACAGGAGAAGTGGATGAAGAAGAGGAGGAGGAGGAGGAGGAGGAGGAGGAGGAGGAGGGAGGAGTGCAAAAGAAGAGGGGAGAGAATGTGGAACACGGAGTTTTGGCGGGAGCTGAAACGACAGCGACGACGACGAAGCTGCAACAGACGGGGATTGCCTGACAGCCAGGATTTAAATAAGAAAAGCGATGGAACCAAGAGACTGAAAGAGGAAGAGAAGAAGGAGGTGGAAGAAGGGGAGGGGAGGGAGGGGAGAGAGGAAGAGAGAGTGAAGAGAGAATGAGCAGGAAGTTTTTGCGGGAGTGAAAAGGACGACGGCGAAGCTGCAGCACACAGGGATTGCCTGATAGGTAAGATTCGAATAAGAGAAAGCAGAGGGGTTCTCTTGCCTCCACGTGGCCACAATTCTGAGATTGGAGGCAGCTACCTGCTGTGCTGTGTGTTGACAGCTGGAGCTCTACTGTCTTGACATGTGGAAGTGGCGTCATCCCCAAGGCGCCGGGGGGGGGGAGAGGGGGAGGAGGAGGAAGACGTGAGAGGAGGGGAGGGAGGGGAGGGAGGAAAAGAGATTGAAGAGAGAAAATGAGGAGCAAGAAGTTGTCGCGGGAGTTGAAACGACAAATGAAAAGGACGGCGGCGAAGCTGCAGCACACAGGGATTGCCTGACAGACAGGATTCGAACAAGAGAAAGCAGAGGGGCTCTCTCTCTTGCCTCCACGTGGCCGCCATTCTAACGTTGGAGGCAGCTACCTGCTGTGTGATGACGAGTGGAGCTCCTCTGTCTTGATTCTGTCTTGACACGTGGACGTGGCGTCATCCCCAAGGCGCCGGGGGGGGGGGGGGGGGGGGGGGGGGGGGGGGGGGGGGGGGGGAGGGAACGGGAGTGGTGAAGAGGAGGGAGTCATGATTTGATCTGTTGGTGAGGAGGAGGAGAATTCCAACTGAGCGTGAAGGGTAGGCGATTTCGTGTGATCTACAACAGTGCGAGGGGTGTAGATCGCTGCGGCGTTGTCGTAGGCTTGGTTCTCTCTCCTCCTTTCTGTAGCTTTTTCCTTTTTTGGGTTCGTACCCTTGACGTTGTCCACTTCAACTCCTGTCATCAATGCTGAGGGTATGGAGAAGGAATGTGTGAATGGTATGAAATCGGTCTGATCGGCCTTGCCTTTGCGGGCTTACTGCCTAAGTGATTGGAGGGTGAAGAGGGGGGCAGCAGAAGAGGAGGAGGAGGAGGAGAATGGGAGGAGGAGGAGGAGGGGCAAGAAGCTTGGCCGGAGAAGGAAGGAACATGTGAAAAGAATAGCGTTAGAATCTGACGATGATGATGATGATGATGATGATGATGATGATGATGATGGGGTTTGTGTTTGTGGCTTTGCTGCCATGTCATGGGAGGTAGGGTCCACGTCATTGTCATTCTTAATGAGGAAATGATCTCCTTTGTCATGATGATGATGGGGTTTGTGTTTGTGGCTTTGCTGCCATGTCATGGGTGGTAGGGTCCACGYCATTGTCATTCTTAATGAGGAAATGATCTCCTGTGTCACATGATGTGTGACCGCGGATGCCCGCGTAGGGTTCTGGTCGTGGTTCAGAGGAGGGTGCGCAAGCAGAGCGGACATGGAGTAGGCACTTGAAGACAGAGGAGGGGGAGAGGGAACGAGGAAGGGAGGGTGACACTCATATGGAGAGGATGGACGGGGGAACAAGCAAGGGCAATGTGAAGAGGAAGAGTGGGGGACGGACATTAGAGAGAAAAAATGGATGGGGAATACTACGCTAGCGTACTGTTGCTCATTCGTCTTTCCAGGGCTGTTTTATGCGACTTCGACACAACGATTTTGTAGTCAAGGATTCATTTTTGGTCAGATAACTGTAACTTAGCGACTCTGTTTTATTTTGTCTTCGCATCTTCTGACAATTTTTTCTCTCCTCACCAGAGGTGGTCACTTGCTTCTGCACTTGGAAAAATGGCAGGGGCATGATTGGTCTTAGTATCTGCTGACATCTTGCTTGCTCCTTGCCCATCTTTTTGGCTCCTCTTCTCTTCTCGCTGCAAACATGGCCTTTCTTCCGTCTCTCTCTCTCTCTCTCTCTCTCTCTCTCTCTCTCTCTCTCTCTCTCTCTCTCTCTCTCTCTCTCTCTCTCTCTCTCTCTCT